TCCGATATTGAGGTTCGTTTTCGCGGTCTACCACGTTTTCGAATATTGACTGTTGTTGTCACTTCCGTTGTCGTTGTACGTGCGTCCTCACCAGTCCGTATTTTTACTTGCCTTCGCGTAACCCTTCCCGACGCCGACAGATCCTTTGTCAATTTCGGTGGTTTACGTGTCGGTCTTTCACCATCTTTCACGCTGTTCTCAGCTGGCCCCTGCCGTACACACGCGGAGGAGGACGGGCATGAAGTCACATCTTCACGGGAAGAGGAAGATCCACCGATGGACTGGACAGCACATTTTGGAGGACGACCACGGCGAGGACGACATTCACGCGCATCAAGCGGAACAAAACTTAACGGCACATGTTGACGAATGCGCGCGCCCAGGTGCTGAAGGGTTCTACCTACATACCGATCTTCACATTGTCGGCATTGAAAGAAATAGATAAGGTTACTTTTACTAAGGGTAGGTAGAACGTCCTTCTTCACACTGAACGCACGCACTGTCCCAAATATGACGTACAGCTTGACGCACGGATAAGATGGACATACGATACCACGAACATCCTTCTCCACGCGCGTAGAACCGGCACCAACCCAGAGTAAACGGAGCACCACTGGGCAAAGGTCAGGTCCAAATTGGATAGGCTTGTCTGTCGCCGGTTTTTCGTACATTAGCTTGGCCAGAAATTCCTTTGGATAGCCGTTGTTCGTAAATATTGATGTCAGTCTGTCTAATTCGTCCTGCAATAGATGAGGTAGATGTGCGTTGCATCTGGCTGTGTTAGAAGCTTTGTATATCCGTAAGTTAGATCCTGAACTTTGCGTACAGAAAAAAATGTGTTGTCGCTACAATTGTTTGGTGTTACTCCTCGTCGAGGTGTTAACAATGTAACTTAATTTGCTCACTATGTTGTTGTCACTATTATTATTTTCCTTCGAGTTTTGTGTCGTGCTGAACTTGATAATTTTCCACCCTGTCACGAGTGTTGTTATCTCATTATCTTTACGCTATATAAGTTTTAGTCTTTCCAACTTGAGCCATTCCCTGTATAATCTTTGATGAGAAGGGGCCGAAAACGTTCGGATACTTTGACAAGTGCCTTATTGTGACTGGATGTGTGTTTGCGTGGATACTTACGACCCAAAACGTACCTTCGTTATTAAAGTATTATCCGCCTCCGACCTCTTGTAAAAAATATTATTATTATTACTTCCTCCAATACACCACACCACCACATTGCGCTCTTGGCCGATCCAAACTCTGCACTCACATCACCATCACCACAGCGAGGACTTCTTCTTCTTCTTTTTTCTTCCAACTTCTGCCCATGGCGTCCTTCTCTCAGCTCGTCAACTGTCAACAGTTTTTCTGTCATCACCATGACACTGTCGCGAGAAGGTGCTCTCTGTAGACGGGGTTGGTGATTTCCCGACGTGGCCATGGGTAGGCCTTCACCACGTCGGAACACCCCGGCTACACGTTGGTTACCTCCACTCGTTAACCTGCCTGCTGTTGAAAGAAAAAGAAAAAGAAGTCTTTATACAAGTTAAAGAAAAGAGCGAAGAAAACAAGACGACATCAGGAGTAGTCTCCTAACCCCCCTAGCATAATGAGGGTCAGAACCGGGTGCGATACCCATATGGTTCAAATGGTCCGCAGGGACCGGGGCTCTGCCAACCGCGGAAGGTTGTAGCGTAAGGTCACTGTTTCCGAACACAGTGTCCTCCACCTTGTTTCATGCTGTCAATCTAACAATTGCGTGAACTATAACAAGGTTTATCCAATACTGGTTTTTAACCAGTGTTAGGTTATATCATCATGTACGTACATGTAGGTAATTCCAGGCTGAAGCCACTTTGCAGGACTGCTCGTCTCTCTTTTTACATCTCCAATAAACAGTCTCGTCGCTTACTCTCTTGTCTTGCACGTAAGCATGCCCATCCTTGTACTTTGAAGGTCCATAGTTTGAATTTGAACCACATACGAAATGAGCGAAGCTGTGCAGACCACTAAAGTTGGCAATGTACAAAGTAAATAATAAAAAAGATTTTGAACTCCCTCAAACATTTAGAAGAGTAAGAATAAGAAATACATAGACGAAAAGAAGACAAAAGGATTATCACAATCGTGTTGGCCAAAGGGTGGCAAAGGGAATTGTGAAGAGACTGGTACAAAATGTTGAGGAAGGTTAGCCCCTTGACTGGTTTGGGTTTGCCACGCGAAGCCTTTCGTAGTTTGACCAGTAAAATCGAGATAATAGTCCGTGGCCGAGTCACGAAGAGAAAGGATTTCGTATCCATAGCTTTCAGTTTTTCAGTTACATTTGGCCACAGGCCAGGGTCAGCAGTGAAAATGTAACTTCGTCGAAATGTACTCGCCGAATGTGTTAGGCGTTGGATAAATCAAGCTGTGAAACCGCACAGTCGTGATTTGTCACTCGGAAGAAATGTCACACGCCTACAAACTGACCCGGCAATACAAAGCGTGAATCACTGCGTGTCGGCAACAAGTTGCAGTGGAGTCGTCAAAATCTGTCTCCCTTTAGCAACTGAACAGTAAAATAATCTGGACTGTTTTTAATCCAATCAAATTCTGGATACATTATTGTACGGCCATGGTGTTGGTTGACTGCATGTAACAAGGTGGAGACCACCGTGTTCGGAACACGTGACCTTACACATGTTTCAACAAAACAAGGTTTATCATAATACAAGTAGTACATGCACGGTTTATCGGGTGAGCGGCCGTCGTGAGTTCCCTTCGGGAACGGATACGATAATTTACTTTATTTTTTATTTTTTACATGCACATGACCATGACCACTCTCTGGGGTACATGTACATGTACCGATGCTCTAGCCTAGAAAACGACAACCGCCCTAGTATTTTCCTGGGTTTTTTCTTTTCTTTTTTTCTCTCGTTTTTTGCGTTTTTTCACACATACAATTGTTTTCATTTTTTGGTGTTGTGTTCTAATCATTCGCCATGCCACTGTCAATTGTATTATGTTTGCCCGTAAAAGAGGCCTTATGTCCAGCCCAACCGCCCTAGGCCCTCCCCACCCGAACCTCGCTCGAGGACCACCTGCGTTGGTGATGGTCATTACTTGTTTCAGTCAAAGCCCCAAAATAAGTGAATAATAGCAATTAGGTACAAGAGAAGAGCTAGAGAGAAAAGGGAAACCAAGGAGGAGTCCAGGTGGAAAAGGGAAGACAAGAACTTTGAAAGGATCAGTCACGCAATACGGTTAATTTCCATCGTGGATCGTGGATCGCGTTGGTGATGGTGGACATGTAGGGTTTTGCACTTTATATACAATCATGTATATGTATCGGTATTGATGGCCGCATTGCACTATAATGTACATATACCTGGGACAAACTCTCTCAGGATGCAGTACTAGTACAGAGCTTGAAGTAGGGCATAGGCGACCCATGCATGTGTCCAGGTCAGCCAGGGTCAGCCAGAGCTAGTGGCTACTCAGTAAAACTGGAAGTGCCGGTGGATGTCCAACGTGGAAATGGGCGCGTAATGACCCCATACTAGGGGCAGACCATACATGTAAATGTGCAGTGTCGCTACAGGACAGCTCTTGCATCATCCTAGCGCTATAACTTATAAGTGCTTTCTGCATCTGGCTGCGCACACATGATGGACGAGCGTTTGTTCCTCACAGCATGATTAATGGTGCAGGCAGTTGCACGAGGACACGATAAAAACGAGAGTCAGGAAATATCATTTCCTGCGGATCCCAGCCTCAGATTTACGATGGTGAGGCTATCGATGATATTGATGATGGTGCAACAACGATTTAACGGCTGTGCGTTTACTCTTGCCCGTCTGTTGATGACATCAAAAAAGACATCATATTATTTGCTGCTAGGAAAGACGTAAGCTCCGACCTACTATCATGTACATGCACATGCAGGGTTATTAACTGATCGGTCAACAGTGCAAAACACCAATGTACATGTTACCTTACTGCCGGATTTTGTTTCCCAATAAGCCGGCAAACTGTACGTTACGGTTCGAGTTGTAACGTCCATTGTCGGACTGATGAAGGAGCTGTTGCCGGTCCGAGTCCCATGTGCATCATCACTTCAAGTCATGTACCAGTATCATTGAGGGAGGTAGACTCCTCCGACACGAAGCACTCATTTTCAATTCACAAGTCATTTGCAGTGAGTTTAACTGACTGGTTTCATACTTCAAAGAGTAATCATCAGAGTGATAGACAAAATTTAATGACAGAGTAACACAATTTATGCAAGAGCGGGCGAACTGTAATTGTACAAGTGGGCCGCCCAAACGCCAGGGCCCCCAAGAGCAATGGGAATCTATACTACAGCGTAGATATTGAATTTACGGTGTAACAGGCAAATTTGCAGTGTTGGTGTGTAGGCATGCAGTATGTTGTACTTATAGTACTAGTGTACATATTGTGATAAACGTCATGTACTACAATTGGTACATGACTTAATAATAGCCGTCTGGCATGGTACAATAACCTTTTTTCTTTTTTCTTTTCTTTTTAATGGCTTTCTCTTCTTCCTCGATTGGTTTACAATCTGTATCACAATTATTTGTGGGTTCAGCAATAAAGGATGTGATAAACGTAAACATGCAAGCATGCAAATGTTGTGCTATACTACTAATGTATGTATTGTACGTTTTGGCAGTGTCCAAGTTTGGACACTGCTTCCATTCATGTTCTCCATGTTCTACAATATACTTCCCATTACCGCGGATGCCTATAAAACGCCTCAACGAGACCTACAGTCGCATTAAAATCGTAACTGATACACCCGATACCCACTTTCCAAAACAGGATCAATATTCCTATTCCGTTTCCCAGTTCATCGTTACACTATCCTTTTGCTAGCACATGTACATAGTTACCAGCAAGGCTGCAGAGGGTCTATGAGAAGTGTACATTTTTCCGTAGAGGGTCTATCAGTTATCTATAGCGGCTTAACAGCATTCTACTTCCGATTGTCTAGATTGAACACTTTCGACCGCAGTCTAGGCTGTCCAGATTCCAGACTTTCAGAGTCGCTTACCCAAGTCTCAGGGTTTCAGAGCTTGTGAATAGAAGGTCAGAAGGGGAAGATCACGCTCAGGATGAACGTCCTACCGACCATCAGCGTGTATTACCTGATCTATTCACTACATGTTCACAAGTACATCAAAATGCCCAAGCTGAGGTGCTCGGCGGGTGATAACTTGACTGATGATGTCGCCACAGCATCGTTTGTGTCAAGAGCTCAACTGGTTGGCTACTGCGCTAAAAAGAGTAAGTCTAAGTGCATGTTGCAATGATCTAAAGGTAAAGTAGAACCCTGATATTAAGACTTAATCGCACAGCCAGTAGGAAAGTGTACGTAATATCCAAGGTACTTCTCATCCCAAACATGTATTTCAGTGCATGTATTGATCAATACACACATGCTCCGGACAATGTCCGTACCCAGCAAGAGCATGTCTTGTACAGATACATGGCGAGCCCTTTCCAGGTAGGGTGGATGTGCATCTGTACATGCAGCAACAGATATTATTATTGTTGTTATTATTGAGTCCTGGTGGTGACTAGCCCTTTCCCCAGAGGTGCTCGCCCTTTTTTCGCCCTTTTTGGCCCTTTTTGGAAAAGCCCGTTTCTTTCGCCCTTTAGTGCGTTTTTTGGTGAATATCGCCCTTTTTGAGCTTTTTAGCTGAAAAAGTGCTAAAATCTGTTTGCTCATTCATGCGATCACAGTTTCCCAGTGCTCGATGGGCCTTGGCACGCCGCTTTTTTGGGGCAACAAGTTGTGAAGCCTGTACCCGGTGTACACAATCCTGTAAAAAGTGGGTTTTTGAACTTTACTTCCTGTTTTGCCTTTCGTGGACCGATAAATGGAAGAGTGCGTATTCCCTTCTCAGCTTTGGTTCATATCTGAACATGTATCATGGCTATGCTTCACTGAAAAAAGAGCACTTTTTGCCTGTTTTCACTGAAAAAAGAGCACTTTTTGCCTGTTTTCACTGAAAAAGAGCACTTTTTCAGCATATTTTGATGGACGCGAAAAGCACTAAGTGCGAATTAAAAGAGAACCTCCGGGAAAGGGCTAGTGGTGACAGTCAATTTTTTCTTCAGACTTTTCCCGTTTGTCTCTTTCCCTCAAACTAGTGAAGTTATTATTATTATTATTATTATTATCATTATTATTCAAAGTATCAGTCGGGGAAGTGAACTGCCTGAAAAGAGAAAAAAACGCCAGACCCACCAGGACTCGAACCTGGGACCCTGCTTGTCATGAGCAATGCTCTAACCACTGAGCTATGGGACCAGGCTGAACCTAGAAGGCGCTGACAAGTTCTTCACAGCTCAGTGGTTAGAGCATTGCTCATGACAAGCAGGGTCCCAGGTTCGAGTCCTGGTGGGTCTGGCGTTTTTTTCTCTTTTCAGGCAGTTCACTTCCCCGACTGATACTTTGAATTTGAAGTTCTCCCAATCCTTTCCAAAATTATTATTAATAGCAATGAAAAGTATGAATGCCGCAGACATCACCACGCAACATGACAATTTGTTCAAGGTTTGGTTTTGTGTGTTTCCAAAATCGATTTTCACGTTGCGATCATCAGTGGAAATACGCAACTAAAGAGATCAAGGGAAAAACAAAGGTTAAAAATCCAAAGAAGTGTGACACATGACGGGTAACTTGTGGTAAGTATTACAAAAAGTGAGAACTAAAATAAAGAGTAAGTGTGACAAACGGGCATGAACAGTGCAGAAACAACTCATGAACACGGGGTGCAAACTCACGAAAATAACCTAAGTGCCTAGCAACCTAGGTTATTTTCGTGAGTTTGCACCCCGTGTTCATGAGTTGTTTCTGCACTGTTCATGCCCGTTTGTCACACTTACTCTTTATTTTAGTTCTCACTTTTTGTAATACTTACCACAAGTTACCCGTCATGTGTCACACTTCTTTGGATTTTTAACCTTTGTTTTTCCCTTGATCTCTTTAGTTGCGTATTTCCACTGATGATCGCAACGTGAAAATCGATTTTGGAAACACACAAAACCAAACCTTGAACAAATTGTCATGTTGCGTGGTGATGTCTGCGGCATTCATACTTTTCATTGCTATTATTAAACTTTTATCTCCACGTAGATTATTTGTATAAAATTATTATTATTATTATTATTATTATTATTATTATTATTATTATTATTTTAATATAGCTATGAATAGGATGAAGGCCGCAGACATCACGCAACTACGTTACTTGTTTGACATGTATTACTGTGTATTTTATAACAAAAAATATTATTGAAAACCCAGAATCGATTTTCTCGTTCCTATCATCAGTGGGAAAAACGGAACTAAGGATACAACCAAAGAAACTGAAGTTAAGTACTGTGAATAGAAAGGTGTTAGAAATAACATCAAGATACAAGTGCAATAAAACCACTAGAGGAAACGCAAAAAACGTAACAAGATTACATGTACATAACCAAAGGCGAGAAGGCACTGAACGAAGTGTCAACCTACGAATACAACTTCAGTGCAACAACGTGCTCTTTCTGCTTACACAAAACAGGCTTATGAATACGTATACAAACTGCCTCAAGGACTTTCAACTGTTGGACATAACGCGCACGACACAGTACAGAAAAATGAGAGTCATCATACACACCAAGACAGTCAGGACGAGATAACAAGTGTAGATACACAGCTGACTTCTTACGATCAACACATTCATCCGCCTCATCTCGCTCCTTCCCACCCGACTCCTCCTCGTCCATCTCATCGTCCTCTTCCTCGTTCCGCTCGTCATCCTCACGATCATCATCACTACCATCATCTTCCTGGTCCTCTGTCTCCTCACCAACCGTTTCGTCATCCAATTCCTCTTCCATTCTCTGATCATCCGTCTCATACTCCGTTTCAGTACAGACCACTTGTCTCCCATTTGCTAGCTGCTCGTCCCGTGAGCGGAGTTGTTCCTCCAAATCCGCTTCACTCACGGACTCATGATACTGCTCGACCCTCCTCCTGTTGGTACTGTCCACAACGCGCGGTCCTTGGCCGTTGTTCCTTTCCGATCATGACTACCTTAGGTTTAGCTCACTTATTGCCGACAATGACAACAAACTAAAAATAGGCTTATTGTGAAGTATGATAAGAATCTCAAGTGGTTGCGCACTAAACGTTTTGGGTCAATACAGATCAATACAGATACAATCATTAACCGCACCAAAATTGAGCTAACCACCGTCCAAAAGGAGTTGCTGTGCCGGGGCACGGACTTCGGTATTCCTCCTGTTAGTGACAAGAAGGAAGTCGTACTGACCGAGTTTGAGTTGTTCTACAAGAAAACTGAAACAGCTCACTCCCATATCGGAAGCCCAACAGGCTGTGTGCAGTGCCAGCCTCAGGGCGCTTGCCGAAGAACATGCCACGAAACCTCGGCCAGTCCTTCAGCGCCCCTAGCGCCGATGCGGTTCTTCCAGAGAGATACGCCCTGCAAGACGCGATTGCGCTGCAGAGCCTGCCCAATGCTCACTGCTCCAGTGTTACCAATGACATTCTGACTGCAGAACACACACAAGAATATCACATGCAAACTGATTGAAAGAGAGAAATACACGTGCTACATGTGTACACATTTTATTCATGTACTTTGACATCCGATGATGTCATCCAGAATATCTAATTACTCAGCCATTGCTTGTCAAAACAACTTTGATGTGTGTTTACCTGGACACAACAGAATGTCATGTGAGTTTATTTGGTGGACCCCTAGCAGAATCTTGTGAACTCTTGAGAGCAGGGGGGGGGGGGTATTCTTGATACCACAGTACTTGTAGGAGGACAGGGCAAGGTACTGTAGCACTGGTTGAAACCCTCAATCAGGTTTCGGAAGAATACTAAATTTGGTGATTCTATGAGTATGAGTGCATAAACAATAATTATTCATGAACTCTTTATTTAGAAAGGCCGCGGATCCTGTCAGCTTTTCTATTATTGTGTTCACAAAGGAAGACCTAACGACACCGCTATTGAGACACGTTGTCTACGTACGTTTCTACGTAAGGTCACTGGTGTTCGGTACCTAGACCATGTTATATGATTGTACAGTACCAGGCCGGCCAGGGAGCTCGAGCTACTAGTACTCCATGGCTCCTACCATCGCGTGGCCGGGGCCGCGCGCGTGCGTGTGCATGGCAGACATTTGTTGCAGCCTTTTCGGATGTGCATGCACGAGGAACTAACGTTACTTCCTTCTTTGGAACCACTTCTTGCACGAGCTGTTTCGGATATTTCGTCTCCTGGCCTGGCTTATTCCGCTTCGGCGCTGCTGAGACCTCCTTTCACGGAATATTACTCAATGACAGGTGAGTTGACCAGTTCCCTTTGATTCATTTGCTTGTGTTGACTCTTTCATTATTTTACGAAAAGTGTACTGATTTTAGGTGGAATGCAAAAGCTGACAGGATCTCTTTTCCAAATTTTGCTTTTCCGCTATCAAGGCCTCCTTTTACGGAATACTCAATGACAGTTGATCTCTGAGTTGACCAGTTTCCTTCCATTCATTTGCTTATGCTCACCCTTTCATTAACGGAAACGTGTGCTGATTTTTAGATCCATTCGTATCTCTTTGCCCTTGCCTACAGTGTGCGGAGAACGCGAGTTCACCTTCTTGACGGTAAGGCTTATGTTGCTGCTGAGGCTTAGATGTGTTGTCGAAATACTCATGTTCATTGTACACTGGTCCGTTACAAGTAAGGCACTGGTGAGTGGCATACTATCGTTGGCAGTTCCCAATCTGGAGGGAAAGGTTCAAGGACGCATTGGCCAAGTATGCTAAATAAATTCGCATATCAGGGAAAATCTCCATTATGGAGAGGTTCAGTGACTTGTTTCCTTCATACGAAACAAGCCAATGGGTGCAGTCTCGTCTCGTGAAAATCTCGTACTTGTACGATTGGATTTGTTTACTCGAGTCTGGGTTGTTTGATTTGTGAGTAGCGCCGAGATTGCACTGCCCCAAATAAAGTTGCGTGCCGGCAAAGCTAGAATTACGATCTGCAATCTGTTTGTAGTACCTGCAAGAACGTGCTGTACATGTATCGTATTTTCTCTGATGCGGTTTCAGTTGCCGTCATGTTGCTAAATAAAGGTTCAGTGACTCATTTGTTTCATACAAGACGAGTCAATGAGTCGGTGTGGCTTAGAATCTTTCGCTGTAGAAGAAATCTATTCGTATCTCTATTGGAGAAATCATTGTATTCACTGGTTAAATATAATTAATAGGGTTAAGACAAACTCACAGAAAATACCATCGGTTCCTTGGTGTTTGTCCTAAAGAGGTTCGACTGGACATCGTTCATACTCACCAAAAGATCTGTAACATTTTATCATTATGAAGTGCCTTGTTTATCTCTCAGTACCTCCAACCATAGCCTTGCCCCTTTTATCCTCAGGATCAATGTAGTTGTTGGATCGAGGTGTTGGACTCAACAATGACGTATTTGTTTACATTGTGATACATTAATGCGATTAATAGTATTAGTGAAGCGGACATTACAAAATGATGAATGAGAATACATGTATCTAAAATGCTTGCTCCTAATCGATTTTCTTGAGACTATCATCAGGGAAAAATTCGTCTCACCATAGAGGCTATACGGAGAAACAAACTACTTACAGGTTATCGGATAGTGGGAAGTATACAAGGTGAGGTGTGAAAAAAACTACCTAAACTGGGAGAGAAGACGAAAGAAATTAGAAGAAAAGATGTGAGAGTGTTCCGACGGTGTGAGCTACTACAAAAGGTGAGTGAAATGAAGGCGTGGAAGCAGGTGAATGTGATAGAGTGAGGAACTGTGAGGTGTAGGTGTATGCGAATGAATACGTGTGTGAAATCTATGCATTCAGAAAGAAAATGTCACAAAACTGAGACTCTTCACCTAGCATTCACACACGTATTCATTCGCATACACCTACACCTCACAGTTCCTCACTCTATCACATTCACCTGCTTCCACGCCTTCATTTCACTCACCTTTTGTAGTAGCTCACACCGTCGGAACACTCTCACATCTTTTCCTCTAATTTCTTTCGTCTTCTCTCCCACTTTAGTTAGTTTTTTTCACACCTCACCTTGTATACTTCCCACTATCCGATAACCTACAAGTAGTTTGTTTCTCCGTATAGCCTCTATTGTGAGACGAATTTTTCCCTGATGATAGTCTCAAGAAAATCGATTAGGAGCAAGCATTTTAGATACATGTATTCTCATTCATCATTTTGTAATGTCCGCTTCACTAATACTATTAATCGCATTAATAAAGTTATTGTCTCCTCGTCGCCTTTTCATTGTAATACATGTTTATTATTCCTCCTTTGTTGTCTTGTTTTAGAAAATCGTGGACTAACACTTTCAAGTCATTGAACTACTTCCAAAAGTTGTATCGACATCAACAGGATTTCGATTTCAGTGCAATAAGATGCAGGGTGACCTTATCACGATAACTCATTTTTTGACTCCCACCTTCCAACCCGGCAAATATGTAGATTTTGATACAAACGATACAAAGCCTCTCAATTATTTTGTAAAAATTATAAAATACTTGTATAAGAATGTAACTCGGATGGTGAGCCAATTAAATAATTGTGAAAAGAAGAAGGACAAAATGTTACGAGTTATGACTAACTGCCCACCAACGTAACCAGATCTTATACAGTCAGCGTGTGCGACAAAATGGCACAAAACTGACAAGGAGTACTGAGATATTCGGCGACTTGACACCTAGCTCCAACACTTCTCCAAGGCGCAAACCAACAACCTTCCAACTTGGAAGGCTCAGGTTCGGAAAGGTCCAAGAGGGGAAGGAAAGCGCAACGAAGAAGAGCATGAGCTACGCATCACGGCTACAAAGAATGCCGAAAGTTACTGGATGATGACGAAACTAGTAAGACTATTGGACATACCGGCCTTACTACAACTGTATATGGATCTGTATAAGATATGGTTACGTTGGTGGACAGTTAGTCATAATTTTGTCCTTCTTCTTTTCACAAATATAATATACTTTCACACAAAACAAGCTCGGTGCAGCACTAATCACGGCAGGGGAACCCGACCCTCCACCATCGCCAATTCTCGAAGCATGTGAACTGGACGGTGACGGGCCGACCGAGCACCCCGAACACACAATACAGCGGAACGTAGCAGCGCGAAAGACACCCAACAGCGATAGTATCCCATCAACGACGAATAGCTACCTCCCGAAGATTGAGATGTGAGCAGGCAAAGGCGCCTGAGGAAGGCCGTGGATGCCGGCGCAGCTGCCCCATTCACGGAAAACACTAAAGGTGCAAAGGCGCCACGCTCAACATCCACTACTCTCTCCTGATATTGAAGTCTCTTAGCGCCCTCATGTTGCCGGAAGAACGCGTCCAGGCCTCTGGACGCATAGGAAGAAGCGTCAGGATTAAACTCCATTACATCAAAAAATGCATCTTGCCCACGCGTCCAGAAACCTCGAGCGCTCACATCAAGGCGAGCCTCGACAGAGGTGTTCGCCGACCTGGCCTGAAAAACCTCACCCTCGACAGGGGCGAGAGGTGGCTCTACAGACACAGTGGAGCGGTCAAGGCAACAGCGAACAGATCTCGTAGTTCATTATGTCGAATAGTTGGGAATCCCCAAAAGCACAATTTAAAGCATGGCTAGTGGAAAAATCCGCCCCACAAGCACATACAGCAGGGGTGTCACGCAGCGGCCAGTCATAGCGTAACGCAATGGCATCGCGAAAGTCTCCCTTGGATAATTCAAAACCATGCTCAGCAATAGGGAGCGCCGACAGCCATGATGAAACACCTGGGCGACCCAGTTCTTCCACGCGACAATTAACTTCCAAAGACAGGTGCGATTGAAGAGCACGCAAGCGCTCTGCCTGTCGCTCACCCGCCACTTTACGACACTCCCGCTTGGCGCAAGCTACAGCGGATAAAACTCTATCAACCTCATCCGGACCATTTGGGAACTCCTGCCTCCGAATAAGCGTCGTGAGGCCCTCGGTAATACGGCCAGAAGCCTCCAACTGCTCCCTCGCCATCTCAACAACAGAAAGCAGGCCAATGCGACCGAGCCGAGCAGGAAGCCGAAGAAGCGAAAGCTCAGTGTCCGTAAAGGACGACCGTCCGGTAATGGCACGGAGGAAAGCACCTGCCAAAGCAATATCAAGCTGCTCAAGTGACTCCGGAGCTATCGCAGTGGTGCGAAGTAAGTAATTCCAACGACCCCGCAGCCCATGTACTAACACGGAATACGCAGTATGTGGCTCTGATACCGCCAAACCACTTAGTTTATCAATTTGACCACACCACTGGGAGACTGCGTGATGCACGAATGTGTTAAAGGGGAAGTTAAGGCAAAAATTAAAATTTCACCAGTTGTAGTCTTCGGGGTGCTGAGTCGAATGGTCGTGGTCCGAGGAAGCTGAGACGCTCCCTTCCTACTTTAATCCCAATCGAACTCGCGCACTTCCACCGAAACTGGGTGACTGCGCCCTACTAGATGGGGATTTGTATGCAAAATGTCACTAAAAGCGCCATTTCGTTCTTATAAAAGCATGGATGACCGCGATTGGCCCATATGTTGTAGTCTTTTGGACGCTAAGTCGATTGGTTTTGGTCCGAAAAGGCTGCGATGCAGCGTTCCTCCTTTATTCCCAATCGAACATGGTTGAACAAGCGGTCACGTGCTCCTGCGTACACCAGTCACCTGGTCACCGTGCCTGCAGGGTAGGCCTAGCCCAAATTTGCTCGGGGCGCTTCGATATTTTGCCGGCAAATTTTGCCCAAGCACTTTCCATATTTTGCTTGGCATTGCCTTTCGTTTCCGATATTTTGCTCCATTTTGCTCCTGCTTTGTGGCAAAAATAGCTTCGAATGAACCGTCTACTTTGGTAAAAGTGGATGGTGACTCTGATGAGAAAAGCAAAACTGAAAATGGTGTCAGTATTACGGATTTTGTAGCATGATTTCAAATTTATGTACCCCTGACAACCTGCACGAGCTATTTCAGCACGACGTTGGCCCAATGAAACCAAAGAAATTAGAATAAAATTGCCAAAACACACCCGGATCCTCTGTAAATTTCGATATTTTGCTCGGAATTTGCTGGCAATTTCTTTTCGTGATTACATGTACATGTACATGTACCTCCAAAAGGGTCCATCGATTTCCATTTAGGATCAATGCCGCGGTGAGCCGAAATACATGTACATTTTGCATAAGGCTCTTCACCTTCTGGCAACTTCAATCATTTCCTGCCATAAATTAAAGGGGAAGTTAAGGCAAAAATTAAAATTTCACCAGTTGTAGTCTTCGGGGTGCTGAGTCGAATGGTCTTGGTCCGAGGAAGCTGAGACGCTCCCTTCCTACTCGAACTCGCGCACTTCCACCGAAACTGGGTGACTGCGCCCTACGAGATGGGGATTTGTATGCAAAATGTCACTAAAAGCGCCATTTCGTTCTTATAAAAGCACGGATGACCGCGATTGGCCCATATGTTGTACTCTTTTGGACGCTGAGTCGACTGGTTTTGGTCCGAAAGGCTGCGATGCAGCGTTCCTCCTTTATTCCCAATCGAACATGGTTGAACAAGTGGTCACGTGCTCCTGGGTGCCCAAATCACCTGGTCACCACGCCAGCAGGTGACAACTTTCACACCAAGGTTCAACTCGAGTTCAACTCGAGTGACAGGACTGCACCCAAAAAAGGTCAAACAGGCTAGTAAGTTGTACCCTGCAGGCACGGTGACCAGGTGACTGGCATACGCAGGAGCACGTGACCGCTTGTTCAACCATGTTCGATTGGGAATAAAGGCGGAACGCTGCATCGCAGCCTTTTCGGACCAATACCAGTCGACTCAGCGTCCAAAAGACTACAACATATGGGCCAATCGCGGTCATCCGTGCTTTTATAAGAACGAAATGGCGCTTTTAGTGACATTTTGCATACAAATCCCCATCTCGTAGGGCGCAGTCACCCAGTTTCGGTGGAAGTGCGCGAGTTCGATTGGGATTCAAGTAGGAAGGGAGCGTCTCAGCTTCCTCGGACCAAGATCATTCGACTCAGCACCCCGAAGACTACAACTGGTGAAATTTTAATTTTTGCCTTAACTTCCCCTTTAATATTCTGTGAGTATGAAGTCAAATACTTTCCTGCTCCTTTTTTTTAAAGGGGAAGTTAAGGCAAAAATTAAAATTTCACCAGTTGTAGTCTTCGGGGTGCTGAGTCGAATGGTCGTGGTCCGAGGAAGCTGAGACGCTCCCTTCCTACTTGAATCCCAATCGAACTCGCGCACTTCCACCGAAACTGGGTGACTGCGCCCTGCTAGATGGGGATTTGTATGCAAAATGTCACTAAAAGCGCCATTTCGTTCTTATAAAAGCACGGATGACCGCGATTGGCCCATGTGTTGTAGTCTTTTGGACGCTGAGTCGACTGGTTTTGGTCCGAAAAGGCTGCGATGCAGCGTTCCTCCTTTATTCCCAATCGAACATGGTTGAAGAAGCGGTCACGTGCTCCTGCGTACACCAGTCACCTGGTCACCGTGCCTGCAGGGTACAACTTACTAGCCTGTTTGACCTTTTTTGGGTGCAGTCCTGTCACTCGAGTTGAACCCGAGTTGAACCTTGGTGTGAAAAATGTCACCTGCTGGCGTGGTGACCAGGTGATTTGGGCACCCAGGACCACGTGACCGCTTCTTCAACCACGTTCGATTGGGAATAAAGGAGGAACGCTGCATCGCAGCCTTTTCGGACCAAAACCAGTCGACTCAGCGTCCCAAAGACTACAACATATGGGCCAATCGCGGTCATCCGTGCTTTTATAAGAACGAAATGGCGCTTTTAGTGACATTTTGCATACAAATCCCCATCTAGTAGGGCGCAGTCACCCAGTTTCGGTGGAAGTGCGCGAGTTCGATTGGGATTCAAGTAGGAAGGGAGCGTCTCAGCTTCCTCGGACCAAGACCATTCGACTCAGCGCCCCGAAGACTACAACTGGTGAAATTTTAATTTTTGCCTTAACTTCCCCTTTAAAGCTCGTAAAAGATTTTTAAAAATAAGAGCGAGTTACCTGTACCGCTCTGCAAGCTCTTTGGGGCATTGGACAGTCTAGAGCTAGCTGAAACGAACACAAAATTTGAGTATTCGAACGTTCTTGATGTTAACGAACGAACGAACGAACATTCTCTAACATTCTCGTCGCACGCGCCTGCTCGCGCACGAACCGGCATAGGCAAGAAAATAGTGAAATATTTGAATACAGTATAGCAATAAACCTTTGTGGCGCACAATTTTTGCGTTTTCATGAATGCGGCTGGTTTGATATGAGAATTTTTTCGATTTTACCTCTTTTGAATCTTGTAGTTGTGCTGTCTGCAATGCACGTACTGAGCAGTTTGTGGCGATTTTTCTTCTCCAGAATGCGCAATGGCCGCGAAAGTAGCGAAATTTAATCACTTGCGAAAGTTTCTAACTTTACAGTACGTCTTTTATGATGCTTTCAAAAGTTGAGGCACAATGGCCTCCAACTGAGCGACGCCATACTGCTACTGCTGAGGACCAGAACGTTGCGTCACAGCAAAGTTTGTCATCAACTTGCTTCCTGTTCAATGTTGATGCTGTAGAAATAACTGCACTCCCAGAGACGACAGAAGAATGCTGAAAGTTACCGTAGTTGTGTTTTCAGCTGCGCATAGAGGTTGCTCGCCGTTTTGCGCTGCGGGAAATCCTGCAGGTAGCTGACTTCTCATCCTCGGATTTGGTAAAATGATCCCAAACAACAGAACGGGGGCCCAGCACGACTGAAAACAGTTTCTGACATGGGAACAGTGCGAACTCGAAACGAAAGAAAATTACGAAGTGGTCAAAGGAAGAGCGAGCAGCCAAAATATGTAAGTACATGTACGAGTACTCATGCTTTGTTCCGATGTTCGTCTACATGTCGTCGCCTCGACTCCAGCCAAGTGCCGGTTTAGATCGTGAACCGCGCGCGCGCAGGGGTCGTGTACCACCTAGCGCAGAGCTGGTCACAAGCACGCAGCTACACAATATTCACAGGCGGTGTGTGAAACGATCGTGACTGATCACGATGTTTTTACGGGTTTATCGTAGAGAGATTCTACCGTACGCACATTCTCAAAGTTCGAATGTTCGTGAGAACTACGAATGTTCGTTCGCTGTGGCCTAACGAACGAATATTCGAATGTTCGGTATATTCGTTTCACCCCTATAATGGACACTCTTTTGATCTGCCCCGACTGCAATGCAGTCCTGGTATTATGGTATTGATTTATTTGAATTCGGTATCTCAACAGTACAAATTACTACAATGTACAACTTACAATCATTATCATTGGGTAGTCATGCTTGTGGCGGTTCAGTGCTGCACTTTTTAAGGGTGGACAGGTGTTTGCTAAACATGGCTATAGAATGGACTGACCCACACTTCTGAACATCTGGATTTTTTAATTTTTTTAATTTTTTTTACGCAAACCTGTACTATCCCAATACTGACATAAATAGGCGAATATGGAAGAAAAGCAGCAAAGGAGGAAAGGAAATAAATTAACATGTACATGGGGAATAAAGTTAGCATCACTTATGTACATGATTGTACATCATCGTTGTACACTCCTCATAACGTTAGTGCGCTCATTCAAACACCCGACCTGATCACGCGCCGCGGCGGAATGTGTCTTGTGGTGTCTTTTTGTTTCGTGCAGCCCTCTTCTCTATAGAGGAGGCGCCGGGCCGACATGCGGACAACGTGTTCCAGATTGAGAGATACACTAAACCTGGCAAAGCATGCAGGGGAATCCCTCCAGTTTCCGATGGCAGGTGTGCAACAACACCGGGTACTTCCTCTTCACCAGCTTCCAAGTGTGCCGACTCAACACAGCGACGAGTACATTCTACTTTGAAACCGTCATTCCGAATCGTACGCTTGAATAACGGACGCGTGCAACTAATAGATCCAGAAACTGGAAATGTGTTGGTAGCGTCGGTGAATGGCACAGTCCAACTCGTCCCCAGTTCTGCTATTCTATCAATCCACTCTCTACTATTGGCTTCCGAGTTTCGTGTATTTCCAACTACTCTTGGCGATCTACGAAGGAAGCTCTGCTATACGAAGAGGAGCCGGAGATTCTGAAGCGCAACGTTACAATCACCCCCACCAACCAACACTTTCCCACACGCTCCTACCACGCCGTTACTGCAAACACTGGCTCGAGATCAGTAGTCATGATTGTACATGCATCTGCATTCCAAACCCCCTGGGCATACACGTACACGCACATGTATGCCTCAGTTGGATACGGAAGTAGGCTGTGTCGTTTGACATTGAAATGTGCAGTGATCTGTCTCTCACTTCAAAACTCATCTTTTTTAGTGCAACGCAAGTTACGCAATACATTGAGTACTAATACCAGTACTGTAGTAATTTTTAAAAGTATTATCTCTACATGTACGTCATGTATACCACAACAATATCGCGATACCAGTGTTATGGTGATTATTGAACTTTAATTAGTACAGTGTTTTTTGTTTTGTTTTGTTATTGTTTTTTCTCCTTTTGAATTGAGTTTATTGAGTTTATTGATTGATTTTATTTTTTAATTATAAAAAATAATTTGAAGTTTTTTGGTTTGGGTTTGAACTTCTTTATTTTACACATGCATTTTTCTGATTTCTTCTCCAGTGTATGATTTATTGCATTTTTAACTTTTTTTTTAAGCCACTGTGTTAATTTGCCCGTAAAAGTGGCCTAGTAGAGTGTTATGGTGATTCGTTTGTTCATATTGAGGCACTGGTGATATGACTGTGTGCCGTTGACTATTGTTATCTGAATAGTAGAGCCTAATGCTGCTGCTTACCCCCTTTATTTCATAGAGCCTACGAAACATTATTCCAGTTCCAGTACTGATGAGTTTGTGGACATACTCTACATGTACAGGTACGTGCTGTAGTGCATGTAGGCGTGGGCGGGTAATGCTAGTTATTTGCTGCGATAATGCTAAAGGCAATGCTCATAATATGAGGATATAATGCCACTTATAATGCTCACCCTTCTCCTTAATGCCAGTTTGAAAGTTGGAAAAGTCGATTTAAGTAGGCCGTCTTGGATCAAGGCCAAAGCGTAGAAGAAAACACTTGAACAGCAGTGAGCATGTTGTCTGAAACAATCCACTGAGAAGGTTGATTTGCAACATCAAGTTTCCGGAAAAAGCCGGACAGGTTCAGATGCACGATTTTCGGAACTGGACCTACAAGTAGCCAGCTTCATGCATGACACCGTTGTCGACCGGCAATTATGCTTGTAATGCCAATTTTGCATTCGAAATGGTGTTATAATGCCAGCATTATGCCACCTGGAAAAAAGGGACTATAATGCCAGCCGTAATGCTAGCATTACCCGCCCATGCCTAAGTGCATGTACATGCACTTGTACATGCACATGTATTGTATTTTATTATTTTACTTGGGCATTCCCAACAGACCCTAAGGTCTTCTTACAGGGTGCTCAAGATGAATGAAATTGTTAAGTTCCTGGCGAAATTAATTGGGGATATGATTTGTGCGAAGGGATTCGGGAAGCGCATTAAAGCGGTCAGCACCAAGGAATGAAAATAGATCTGTATCCAGCTTGAGCTTGCACAATGGGTTAAAAGGCAAGAGAATAATTGACTTGGCCGCGGGTTACTCTATCTGTGTGAGTGCATGTACATGTACATGTACATGTACATGCCGTGGACTTAGGCATTGGCGGATAATGCTCGAAAAGGTGGCAGATTCTGCTCGAAAAGCAGTGAAACTGGCAGAACCATACAAACCTTATGGCGGGCAATTCCTCGAATTCTGCTCCATTTCTTTATCCACATACCAAACATGCGTGAAACTTACTAGAAAAAGTACGGAATTCTGCCAATTTTTCCGCCGGCACTATCCGCATATTCCGCATTTTGAGTTCCGTTCGGGAACGGACAGGATATTTTACTTTTTTTACTTTTACTATCCGCATATGCCTAGCCGTGGTTGGCTATAAAAACCGTGCATTCGACACGCAAAGTGGTCATTGCCTACCCCAGCCATGTACAGTATTTGCTCGGAATAGAACTAAAGTAAATCCCGTCACAAGTTATCCATGACTGAAGAGGCAGATCACGGTTCACATGTACATTGCACAGTCTTGTGTAGTTTGCATGTATATGTATTTCGCCAATAATCACGTGATTGATATAAGTAATATACTGACGTGAGTTATTCTTCTTCATAGAGAATTGAGAGAAAATAAATTTATGGATTGCACAGGATGCGGTGATACCTGGCAGTCTAAAAATCTGGAAAGCTTCGAAAATATTTCATAAAAATATCCCTTCTGCTGACTACAGGATTTATGACCGATTTGGCGGTGTGGATATTGATAAATATCGAGACATATATGCATACATATTACAATCTGTAACCAGATCTTCAAAATAAATAAAATAAATTAGTCGTAGACAACAGGTACTCTTGATAGGGTAGGTCACTGCGTAAATTTTGCGGTAATAGAACAATACAGGTGACCATAGAGGTCGTACTTGGTATCTGCCAACATAACAACAATAACATGACTTGCCAGACCTGTAGCTGTGGTCATAAATATAGACTGGTTGTCAATAAATAAATAAACACACGCACGCACGCACACCTATGCGTACACCAATACACAAGGCCAATACATGTAAGTTATCAGCGTATCCCTGTATCTGATGCACACTTAGGCAGGCAACTTGTGACAGTTAGATTCCTGCATTTCCTTTTTCGTAGTGGGGCGAATACGAAACTCTGCCAAGAACTGCTCAGTTGGCCTAAGCGTGGCAAATGTATCAAGAGGCACAAATTCCACTTCGCCTGTAAGTCGAGCGATCAGAATAAGGTCCCGAGTACTGTCCAAGATGTGAAAGTGGTTGCGAGGTAAGCCCTGCGACGTCAGCACCAGGTTGGAGCTGATCTGCTCCGGAATGCTTCCGTTGCCCTCCAGTTGAGAACAGTTGGTCGGAAGTCGTCTGCCGAACTTGACCGGCACGCGGACACCCAGTTGTGTGGCATTGGCTGAAGCATTGGCTGAACGCCAGGTTGTCAGTGGGTTCTGCGGCGCCACGTGATTGTGGAGGACGACCTGCGTGTGCTGTTCATCAATGCGTCTCTGTGTGTCGGCTGGGTCGAAAAACATGCCTGCAGAACAGCACAACGAGTACAAGTGAACCAGATTAGTTGCGGAATGACAAAAGTGTTGCCAACATAAATGTAGCACAGTTGTCTATCAGCACAGTTCCTGAGCTAGTCCAATTGAAAAAGCAACATAAACTTGATAACTATATACATCCTCACAATACTCTCCAAGCGCATTGAGAAAGGCTAACCTTAAACTTGAAAGGGGGCATATCATACTGTCGAGAACATTACCTAGTCTATTGGTTTCGTGTCACACCCATGCATCGTCTTTTGCTCGTACACTTAGAATTTCTCTTGAAAATGCTAGTCGGGACACTCGGGTCTAACGATTGCCAATGTCACTTACTAAGTGATGGTCGGTCAGACTCTGACATCTTGTACATACATACATGCATACCGGTATATGCAATCTTAAAATAAAATGTTCTAAAACGTTGATGGGTCGTACTTACTTCGCATGCTGCATCGGCTGTCCAGTCGTAAGGTGGTCATCGCCTCCGTGCTACTGACCATAGGAAGTGAGGGACAGTTGTGCTGACTGACTTTTACGCGAGGCACTTTTAAGTATTTACCAATCTGGGGCGAGTAGATGAGAAAGTAAAAAGTCACAAGGAGCGGAATAGCTGCCATCTTTGAAATAATTATAATGCTGATACTACTAGTCCTACGCTAGGCCTCAGCAGCACTGAAGGTTTTGCTTGAGCTAGCTGGAAATGTCTTCTCTGATCTTCCTGGGTTCATAGCTGCGTATTTATAGTGTCCTGCTCTCCTTCCCTCGACCGTCACACAGCTTCCAAATCGTCCACATCGGTGCAGCAGAGCAGGGTCTTGTCGGTACAGAAACATTGTGCAGATTCACGGAATGGCTTTCGATGCCCACGCGAATTTTTTCCTCTTTGACACAATCCCTGTCTTGGTAAACACACGAAGCGCGGAGAGGATGTAAAGCCTATACGGTCGCCTCTCCTTTCAATACACCGAAGCGGAGAACTGGCAAACAAAGTCATGGGGACGGTGCAGGTCTTACCCTGCTCGTGACCCGCGGCAGGTACATGTACATAAATTGCGAACTAGCGCAATCATGAAAGGCTTGACCAACGTGTTTTGTTTTGGCCACTGGAGCTCTGCGGCTGGGTTCTGTGGCCCGGCCCGACGCATGCACAGGAGACTGGAAGCTTTCATTCTACACGTCCATTTCGTAGTAGTTCTGTGTTAGCAAAAAAAGCGGCTAAGTGTTCTGTTTCAATAACAATGAATGTAACTGTTCGCTACATGTACATGCACGTTCAATCAAGTCAAAGTGTAGTATCGTGTAGGCTGCGAGCAATGTTATTCTGACCCAAGATTATTCCGAATCGTTGTAGAACATTGCGACTTGCGTATACATGTACGGAGTAAAGGAGGGGGATTTGTCAGCATACTTGAAGCACTTTCAGACTCTCGGTTCGCGTGTCTTTCTCAAGTGTGATAAGTGCGAGGCGAGCCCGTTTTACGCAACGTCTTTCCAAGAGGTCAGCATCCAGCACATCGATTCGCGTCACTGGTGCTCGGAGGCTCTGGGCAGCGCTATCTTTAAAAAAAAACACTCATAATAGAAAACAAATCGCTGCGTGGAAAGTGTCGAATGTATTCATGACGTTACCCTGCTCCGCCACGAACAGCGCATTTCCTCTTCCTTTCTCCTCAAATTCAGTACTCTGTGGAATCGTCTTCCTCCCAAAATCACGTCCGAAAGTTCAAACCAGCCCTCATGATGCAATAAAGATCTGCACAAGCATCTCGTTCAATATGGCTTTTCATTGTACATGTACTGTACTGGTACTCCATAGCCCTTGTGATCTCATCTCAGTGATAGGTTTTGTTTTCTTTATAACTTCAAATCTTCTCACTTCAACAACCAGTACCAGGTGGATGTTCTATGCCATGGACTGTGCGTTTGCCTGCTTACCCTTCAGTGGTCATCTCTCTTCTGCAATACCACTTCGGCCTCTTCCGATTATGGAGACCCCCTTTCACAGCAACGTGCTCAGTAGATCTGTACACTCACAGTGTGTGTGAAACTTGACTTTGTAATGCATGTACATGTACATGACAATGTAATGTCATTATTTTATTTATTTATTTATTTCTGCACCTCGTGGCATGTCAAGACAGCCAATTGAATTGAGGAGAGGGTGGGACCAACCAAATGTACATGTCTGCAAACTGTACTCATCAGGTGTATCGGCTCAGATAAACGCGATGACCACAATCATGATCGTAAATCCAGGAGTAGGACTTTGGACACGGCAGAGCCGTTCTCAGTCTGCTAGAAGAAGAGCCCGCCCTAGGCCTACCATCTGACTGGAGCTCCCTTGTCCTAGTCGTGGATCTGCACACGTACACCAGCAAGACATCACTACGTGTACATGTACATCGCCATATATGGCGGAAAAACGATTCAAAAGCCATAAATGGACAGCCTAAACGCCATTCGTCAACATCGATTAATTATTTTATCTGTGCGCAGGCAGATACTAGTACTCGTACTTGTAGCTGTACAGGTAACGCGCTGTAACACGACAACACGGTACATGCAATGAAAAGACGTGTGGGCTGAACTTGTCTATGGAGGAAACGTGGACGCGGGTACTGCACTGTATTCCATAATTATAAAGACACTTCCCCAGTTCTGCTAGCTAATCATTAATTTTTTAAGGAACACATCCGCTGTTATACACTGTACATGTACATGTATGTGTGATGCATTAGCGCAAAGTGACTTTTATGAACATTTATGCGTGTTCCCAGCGCTGGCCGACATCCTGCGTGTAGTGCAGATTCTGGGGCATTTGCAGTGCTATTGTAGTCGAGTCGCTCAGTTGTCGAGTGAGCACGCACACCTGTACGTACAGTGCACGCATATCCAGTGAATACCACGTCTTTTGCAGTCACAGTAGACGGTGTGCACGTCTTTCTCATTGATTTTTTCGCTGATTGTCTGGCTGCTATCCATATGCATGTAGGCGCGCTCCAGCCCAGACTCCAGCAACCATGTCAATCGCGTTTGTTCTCTTCCATTCCCGAACCCTGATGACCCTTTTTCCTCTTTGTAACACATTCTACCTCACAAATAACTAGTATGCCAGCTTTCAATGGCAGTACATTAAGATGCATTGCCATTGAAAGCTGTTTTAGTCGTTAGTTGCGTACCAGTTCATTCCGAATGCCAAAAACTGAAAGGCTTTGGCATTCAGAACAAACTGGCACGCATTGGCACTGCTCAATCAGTCCTAGTTGACGTGGCTTGTTGTATCCGTTTGTGGGGAGTTTGGCATTTTCGGCACACCAGGCATGCACTTCAGAAAGGAATTGTCCTGTCTTTTGACACTCCCCCGCCTTCATTTCGCCTCATGGATGATTATTACATGTATCAAGGAGGCATGCCGTTCCACACTGACTCTTGACGAAAGTCCATTGACACTGACCAGGGTGATGTGTGTACCCTCTTTCTCCCTTCCTCATTGGCCATGGGCAATCGAGGAATAGTGAAACATTATGTTTCAGCAGCTATCCTACGTTACACCACCTCCACTGCGCCAACCTCTCTTAACGACAAACAATAATCGGAAACCCAGAAAGATGTATCGGGTAAGCTCACACCATCATGGGACTTTGTTGTGAAAAGAACACGCCCTGATCGATAATATTGTCTTCCTGAGCCTGAGGCCTCAAGACGAGTCCACGAAGGTGAACAGCTCCGCCATTACATGTATGGCCAGCCGAGATAAACATGCAGCAACTGATGGGGAATAACGGAACCATAGCCACCCTTCCAAAGTGCACCAGGAAAGCTGTTGTCTGAACCAGTCTATATGGTCCGGCGGATTCTGCCGGCAGAAAAATTGGCAGAATTCGATACTTTTTCTGGTAAGTTTCATGCATGTTTGGTATGTGGATAAAGAAAATGGAGCAGAATTCGAGGAATTGCCCGCCATAAGGTTTGTATGGTTCTGCCAATTTCACTGCTTTTCGAGCAGAATCTGCCGCCTTTTCGAGCAGAATCTGCCGCCTTTTCGAGCAGAATCCGCCGGTCCCTACGGCCTAGAATCAGACAATGGAGCCCCTGTAACAAGATTTGTCTTTGGCCAGCCTATCCGGCGACTCACAGAATACCGGGCGAGGGGTACGGAGTTAGGGAAGCAAGTTATTATACGTGAAAGTCGACGTTATGCCTGATGATTGCACTGAGCATGAAACCTAGAATTGCAACGAATTACGTAGCCAGAAAACGCGTACTTCCGCGGAGATACATACATGTACATGATTGTATTACCACGTGAACGGGGCATGCGTTAGAACATGACTTTGTACTTGAATGGTGCGTTGACAGCACAAGACCTCGGCAACACTGTCGGCATGGCAGGGCTATGCAAAGTGAACCGTTTTTCTCCCACGGCTACTACCACGTATACAGCGGGTGGCCTTTGGCCTTCGGGCGCGTGTAAAGGTTCACTACTAGTAATAGTGTTTCGTGTGCATCGTATGTGATATACCTCAACTAATCCTGCCTACACCAATGCAAATAACGCCGGTCTGGTTGAGGTTTTTAAGATTTGTATTGTATTTCGATACAAGTTTTTTTTTTTTTATTCCCAACAAACCCTATTGTCTTCTGACAGGGTGCCCAAGGCACATGTGCCTGATTGATTCTACACGTATGTGTTGAATAATGCTATCGGCGAGTATAAAAAGGCAGCTACTAGATGTACATATAACTCGTATGCTGAGCCTACTGATACTGAGCCTGATACTGAGTGGGCGGTTGCTTCATAACTCGTTCCCATGTGTCCTTTTCTATTTGCAGATTCCTATTTTTGTTGATAAATATGGTGGTAAAGACACACCTGGCAATATGGCGGTAAATACACGCCTGCCCACACACGCTCTCTAAGCTGCAAAGCTTGCCAGGTGTGTATTTACCACCATATTTATCAACCATAAGTACAGCTGCAGTGATATCTTCGACTGCATTCTTCCTATTTTTGTTACCAGTTATTTTCATCACGTCTCCTTTTACTCATTTTAATTAATGTCGCCAGCATCCTCTCATCAAACTCCTACAGCAGTGGTGTGAAACCGTTTCCATGCTCCGAACGACACAGGAAAGCCCAACCACACGTGAACAGGAAGGAAAGCCACCAACAGGTGGCCTAGCCTCTGGCCATTTCGTGGGAAAAGACAATCTAGACATGCCAAAGCTCCCGTCCAAGAAACCCTGTTCCTTTCAAGGTGCACAATACTACATGCATACAATGTACATTAACCCCTTGTGAACCTTCAACCTGTGTATGTGTATCATGCACGCCACTGCATGGCCATACACAAGACGCAGTGAAGTGCAGTTACATGTATGCAGTGTTTAATAAAACTCCAGGTGATTTAGATCCGGAACGATTTATCGGTGACTTTCAGTACAGATCCCCCTTGATAATGGTTGGTCGGTAATCATCACAAGCTATGTATTCTACTCGGATGGTGAGCCAATTAAGCCTTGGAGAAGTGTTGGAGCTAGGCCTCAGGTCGCTGAATTTCTCAGTACTCCTTATCAGTTTTGTGCCATTTTGTCACACTCGCTGACTGTATAATAATGATCTGGTTACGTTTGCGGACAGTTAGTCGTGACTCGTAACATGTTTGTCCTTCTCCATTTTCCATAAGTGTTATACATGTACATTTAGCTCCTCGACACAGGACCAATCGGCAAGAAGCACTTGACTGAGATAATTCGTACTTCAAGTGACTCAGTCTCCGATGCCCAGTGGAACAAATCAGATTCGGACGTACACTCTAGCCAGTCTAGGTACAGGTACGTGCACATGGGACTCATGGAGTGAAATCATTTGCGAAAACACTTCTCAACGGCGTAAGTGTAAGTGGCGGATGGTTCTGTTTGTTTCGGAACCAAACCTGATTCCCATTCCGTTACAGACCAACACCAGTACCGGTACTGGACACGCAGTGGCTGTGTTTGTCTTAGCAAGTGGTCGGCTAGAAGTGAGTGCCACAAGGCAATCTACACAGTTCTTGGTTGCAGCTAGTCGTCTCGTTGAATTATTTTTATATACAACTATAGTGGTTACGCGATTACATGCACATCATCGTTGAGATTCTTTAATTAAGCAAAGTCGCGGCACGGAGATGCACTAACGCCATCACTAGCGATTCACTCTGTATACATAAACGCCCAGAATTGCAGAAGCTGTTCCGCTGCATACTTAGTGCCCGCACGCGGTTCCAGGACTTCTCTCGCATAACATCTACATGTACATGTACTGTACATCCGATATGAGAGTACACTGACCGAGACAATACATACCAGTATTAAACAGATCGCTCTCCGTAGCACGCTTCTCCTGTTGATGTTAAAACTTACTTTCAATGTTTGGTTGACGTTTGAGTGTCGCTACAACACTCTCCGGGTCAGCTACACTGCACGTTGTATTGTTGGCCAGTCCTGTGCGCCACCTGTGACACTCAATTCCAGTGTGGACGTATAGATTAAAATACTTCACGCTAGAGTGTGTAGATCCATTTTACAGTCCAGTAACACAGCGTTTGATCATTTTGAAACCGAAGAAAATCTAAAATAAGCTACATGTATGTCATTTTCAATCCCTTCACTTTTGACGCCAGTTTCTTTCACTGGTCACCCTCTTTAGATACGTCCATTCGCACCCTAATTACCTCGCGATGTTCCACATCACCGTTACTAAAAGTGAGTGCTGTCCGAACAAACTACAGTGTAGTCTTCCATCGTCATGCACGCATACTATCTTCAATGTTTCTACGTTGCATATCAGGCAGGCACTCTGTGGAACTGTCTGCCCCCTACCATATCCTCCATCGTAAATATTACTGAGTTTTTAAAAACTTTTATAGAGAGAACTGCGTAATAGGATTATGGTGAAAAAGGAGAATGACAAAATGTTACTAGTTACATGTATGACTAACTGAGTTCAACTTTGCATAATAGGATGGCTAAGTTTCAATTCAACTGCAACTGCATTCACTTATATAATTATTCCTTGTTTTTCTCATTGATCTGCTCACTTCAGCGATCATCAAAATACCCTAGTCCAGTGCACATCATAATTATGCCCTTTTCCCTCCCAGTTGTTCTATTCTTCGTGTTATTTATCCTTCTCTGCTCACTCGGCATTCTCATAGTCTCATCCTACCTGTACAGAAATGGAGATTCCTTTGATAGGCCTAAAAAAGGGCTAAAGCTAAACTGGAGAATCCTTGAAATAAATTACACAAATTATGCACAAAACGATCAAGGTACAGAATCTGATGCAACTACCGCTACTAAACTAAAGCTGTGGGAGGCGATCTGACCCGTCACAGCGTGGTAAAGGTACATACATTGTACATTGTACATGATTGTACATGTACATGTACATGTACGTGACTGTACAGTCATGTACATGTGTGGCTGCCGTACTTCACGTATTGCGAAGGAGTGGATGAAGTCGAGAACTGGTGAGCAGTACCGGTATATGCGGCTGACTTTTGGAACTACATCAGTACATGTACGGTTTTCTACGCCCACTGTGCGAAGCTGCAGGCGGGCATGTGATACTGTGTAGCCTATAATTATTATTTGATGCTTACATTATCAGAACACGACTCCGTGATCACAAGAGCAACCACTAGAGTCCTGTTCTACATGTTCAAAGAGGTAGATCGTAGTAACGTTGCTTGATCCTATCCTCATCGTGTGGCATTATGTAGTGGCATTGTGTAATGGTATGGTGGAATCGTATTTCGCCTATCGAACACGGCTCAGTACACAGCAAGTCAAAGAGGTTGTTTGATCAAAGTGAATGTTTATTTCCGCATTACATTACAATCATGTAGATTCCTCGCACCCTGCAATCCTTTGGAGGAGTTTCATGAATCGCATTCTGAAAAGACGCAAATGTCTTGAGTCACCCTAACTATGCATGCAGTGCATACAGTGTCGGGGACATACCAGTACCCCCGGCTTGTTTAGGGCATTTCCGCCAATGTCCCACAGATGACATGTATACGCATCATCACATCAGTTTAAGAGTACATGGGATTGTGATTGCACTCTTGGTACAATCATACATGTTTACTGGCCGATGTCGGTGATACTACCAACTACTAGACAATATTACTAGACACACGTAGCGTGAAAGCGTAGACGTACGGCTAGCCTTGCGCGAACTACCCACCATACACAGAAAGTGAGGAACTTAGTTCTCTTTCCATGTGTAGAGTCTACGTTCCCTAGTGTCGGTACTGAGACTTCAGTTGTACTTTACACACTACCCTTTGATTGGCGATTACATGCTATGGCCCTATGGGGTGAGCAATAGGGCTTGAAAGTGATGACGTCAAAACAGCCAGGGAGTAGTAAGTTGACATCAGATTTCTATTTTTGGATCCACTAAGGTGTGACTTTGCTATTGCCTAAGTATGTGGGTGCATAGCAACCCACTCATGTCGCATGCAGGTGTGACTTTTATTTCGCCACCAGTTGTAACCCCGCCCCCAGTAGCCAAATCAGTCAGTTTCACTGGCTACATCACCATTCTGTGGGTAAGACCGCTTGAAATGTGCTTGGATCCATACAAAAACTGGATCCAAGTGGATCCAGTTTTTGAATTTTTGAAATTGTTGCTATGCTGTGACGTAGCACTTTCAAGCCCTATAAACATCTACACAAGCAACTAATACTTACATGACTGTACTTTATGACATGCAACGACGTGCAGAGAGCGGAGTCCTCCGGTTCGATAGCGTGCTCAATGCAAAAAACTGAGCAGTAACACACGAGTTACAGAGACTGAGTGCCCGCATACAATGTACATGCAATTATACAAGTTATAAATTATAATTCTTGTAATCAACTGAGGGTGTTGTGAGGATGCATGGATAATGGATATACAAGTACAGTGTCATGTTACTAGCACAGCTAGTATGCTGCCTAGACTGGATAGTGCAGAGCAACTGGACGTTACACGGAAAGTGCGACACTGGTTTCAGAGTAGGCCTTGACGGATTATGCCAATATTTTCGTGAAATTATGCTTTTCGCATTGCTGAAAAAATTGCAGAATTATGCAATTTTTATGCTAAAAGTTATCATATTATGCCGCATCATGCTCACATATGCTGCTAATGCATAATGGTTCTGTGCAAAGTAACAGGGGAATTTGTTTGTAGAGGGCGTTGTACTGTAGTAGCAAAAGTTCAACGGGGTCAACGCACCGTCCGACCTAGCTACGACCATCACTGATTGTAGTGGACTGGACATGTTATCAAGGGAGTCGTAAACCTACAACTTCCTAGTGCATCTACTTGTACTTGTGCTTGTATAACATGTACAACTGTATGGAATTTGATGCAAACAGGCGGATTATTCCAATTTTATGCGATTCGTATGCAATTTGCCTCGAATTATGCAAGTATTCGATTTTGGTAGGAATTATGCGAAAAATTATGCTAGCATAATCCGTCAAGGCCTATTTCAGAGTCGTAGACAGTGCAAGATGTTCTAGTCTCTGGGTCAGTGAAACGCGTATACATGTATTGTAATTACTTGAAGTATGTAGAATGTACATCTACATGTACATTCTACATACTACATTGTAATGGATGAATGTAGGCTGTCGCCAGACTCGATTATTCCGCAGACGAAATATCAGCATGAATAGTTATACATGTACCAGTTTGAAAAGGAATATAGCCTTGTCAATATAGCCTTGTCCGTTGGAAACAATCACGCTCTGTTCACCTTACAACGGCGTTCGAGATTCCCGTCCTTTGGTAATGATCTTTTTAGTAACGACTTACAACCCATTCCTCCCCTTCCTGTGAACCTCTGAGAGGTTTTAAACACACTATACATGTACTCAGTAAATGTACACGTGGACATGCTCGTGGTGCCTCCAAGTACATGTACTGGTTTCTGCGAGTAATTCATGAATGGTCTGCAATTGAATGCCAACGCTATCGCTGCTACCAATTATGTTGGCTTGCCCACCCCACCACCCGATAATGGGCAACATGACGATTGCATTGCTCTGTGGCAAGGCATGCATAGTTCACTGGATGTGCATTTCTCTGTGGCAAGGCATGCATAGTTCACTGGCTGTTGTGACGCTCTTGGGTAAGGAGCAAGGCAACACTACACGTTAACCAAAAACCTGGCACTGGTCCGTGGTCGGGGTAGCAGTGGCCTTGTTCCATTACGACATTAGGCAAAGCAGATGTTGTGGTGCATCACCTCCCTTTCCACCTCACACCTCCCCCCCCCCCCCCCCCCCGTCCCGTCTCCTCTCCCTGCTTTTCCTAGACGCGAGTCGCGCAAGGGCATGCATGAACAAGTATACCATTATGGTATTATTTTAGTTCATGTATCTTCATTACGTTACAATCCGCTGGATTGCGTCACAATTGGTATGGCCACCCCAGTGTGGTTCGGATTAACAATAACAGTATGCCACACTTGCGGTGGTGGAAGCCCATATCAAAAATATAGATACATGTATATTGAATGGTACCTGTTTTTCAAGTTACTAGTAGTATCTGTTTTGTTTTGATTTGCTCATCTCACATATTCACTCTAGCCTTCGAAGTTGATGAAATGCCAAAAAACTGAATTGCGTCATAATTGTTAATTTGTTGGTCCGATTCTGAAAAGCACAATCTTCTCCGATCCTAACTTTTGATTGGTGCCTTCTTTTGTGGCCGTGTGTACAACATGTACATGTACATGCTTTGTATTCTATTATTCATTCAGCTTGTTGAGTATCTTCAAGTGCATGTACTTACTTGAAGTAATTAAATCTCCAAACCTGAATCCATGCCACTGTTGTGCTGGATGACCTTCGCACTGCCTCATCCTGAACGACAAGTAAAGAGCATTTCGTCATGAAATGGATGCCACCCACTCTCTTGTTCATGCTATTATGCAGTCTAGGATGTAAACAAACAAATCCAGTGCTAGACTCGGGTACCTACCGCATTCTTCTTCTTCTTACTTCACTACGCAGTGTTGGATCCCCACGCAACGGGATAGTGCCAGTGCGAAGTGAGCATAATTATGTCATTAGTCAAATGTAGATCAGAATTGAATTATAAATCAATTTCTTTCATCCACTCCATACCTGTATCACATCAAACTACCGTAACATGATTGT